TTTGAGAAATTAATTCCTGCTGTTTGTAAACTACCCAGGATGTGGTATTCTGTTAGTAGCAAAAGCAGACTAAGATAAAGGACATTCTACACAATAACTGACCAGTACTCCTCAAAATTGTCAAGGTCATCCCAAACAAGGAAAAACTTTAAGTACTCACCATTTGAACAGAAAAAAACACAAGGAAAGACTGAGAAACTGTCACAACCAAGAGGAAGAGCCTTAAGGGACATGACAACTAAACTAAATGTAATGTGGTATTCCTGGATGGGATCTCAGGACAGAAAGGGCAATAGGGAAGCTGAGGAAATCTGAAAAAGCATAGACTTCAATTAATAATAATGTGTCAGTAGTGGTTCATTAAGTTGTTACAAATATACTATATTGATGTAAGCTGTTAATAGGGGAAACAAGATGTGGCATAAATGGAACTCTGTATTATCCTCACAGTAATTCTGTAAATCTCAAACTGTTCTAAGTTGTTATTTTTAAAAACTGGAAAAAACCTTAAGAGTATAGAGCAAGGTAACTTAGAATTTACTGTCACCTAAGCCTAAATGCATTCTAGGTGGCAACATTTCAAAATCCAGTTCCAACCTTAAGTTTTATGTATATTGCACATTTTGAAATTCAGTCAAAAGCAAAAGCGCTTCTTCCTAGAAAATCAAGTCTAAATAGGTGAAAAGAAAAAAAAAAAAGAAAAAAGGCAAAAGCGCTTCCATCACATTATTTTCAACCAAGGTTAAAAATTTTTCTTGGGAGAGGGGGGAATGGGCATTTATTGAAACCTTAAAATCTGTACCCCCATAATATGCCGAAATAAAAAAAAATTTTTTTCCTCATCTTTTTTTTCTTTTGAACACTTAATAGATTGGAAGGAAAAAGAGGTTCTTAATCTAAGTCAACTTGTTAGGTTCAACTTAAAATTCATTAACTGCCAAATTTCTCTCTCTTTCTCTCTCTCTCTCTCTCTCTCACACACACACACAAACAAATCTTCCCCATTAAACATCTGAAAAATAATTTGTGGAAAACACTAGTTTACACTATTAAAAAGTCTCAAAACACTACATTTCCATTTTTAAAAAAATCACTATTTATTTTCCTAAGAAGAAAAAAACCCTGGACAAAGAATTATTTTAAAGAGTTACCCTAACAGTGTATAGCACTATCTGCCATGTAAGGCTGTACTAGGCAAACAACAGACAAAAATGTTCCTTATTTGGGGTCCTACAGATTCGATAATTGCCTTTCTACCATTTCTTCTTTTAACCTTCGGAACTTCCAGAAACAATACTCCCCAACATTCTTTCTTCTAGAAAACCACAAACAATATTCCAACTCTCCACTACAGTAAAAAGTTTGCAACAGGATAAATCACAAAACGGTATACAGAAATAAATATCTTTACACTATGTCAACACACATTCTTCACATGCAAATAAATACAATACCCTTCCCATTATTGGATAAAGTCTATCTTCAATTGAGTTGGGCTAGCACCAAAAAAATTTTACTACACGAAACAAAGATGTAATACAACTAGATACATTGTTGGAATAAGCCTTTCCTGTTTCAAGGGGGAGGGGGCTCCCTATCGTCTTCCTAAGGTGCACATAAGGTTATTTTCCAAAATCCAACAGTAATCTCGGTGTTTTTCACAACTATTTAACAAAACAGTCTTTTAGCCAAAACTTGAGAGTAAATGCCTTTAATCAAATTTATACTTTATGTTAAGAAACTCACAGCAGCGGCACTAAAATGACCTGCTATATAGAACTCACAATTTTATACTGAGGATTTAAATATTAAACTACCATATATAGGCATCAATTTATGACATGGAATAGGTACAAATCAAGTTAAAGTTAAGAGGTGGTCCAGCATGGATTTTGAAATGGAAGAATATGGTTTAAGTCTTGGCCAGGCGAGGTGGCTCACGCCTATGATCCTAGCACTCTGGGAGGCACAAGGCGGGAGGATCGATCAAGGTCAGGAGTTCGAAATCAACCTGAGCAAGATCGAGACCCCGTGTCTACTAAAAATAGAAAGAAATTATTTGGCCAACTAAAATATATAGAAAAAATTAGCCAGGCATGGTGGTGCATGCCTGTAGTCGATACTTGGGAGGCTGAGGCAGGATTGCTCAAGCCCAGGAGTCTGAGGTTGCTGTGAGCTAGGCTGATGCCATGGCACTCTAGCCCAGCCAACAGAGTGAGACTCCAACTCAAAAAAATAAATAAATAAAACTACAGTGTAAGCTGTTATAAGGTGAGAAGCAGCTGGTGTGGCACTATTAATATAATATGGAAAAGGGGCCTTCTTCAAATGATTATGGGATATGAATTTCTTGAATGTAACGGCTGAGTCAAATTCTTATCTTCCTGAATGATTGCTGCAATTTTTTTCTAAAAATACTGCTGCGATATACATGCTTAGAGTGACCTGAGGACTATTCTACTTAAATTTATTTACATTTTATTCAGTCAATGCAACACATTAGGTCTAAATGTTTGGGGAGTTTCAAATGTTACAGATAAAATGATATTTTTCCATTGAGGGAACTGCCCTTTGATCTTCCTTTCACATTCTGTAAGCAGTGTCATGTGCCAGCCACAATATGCTCACTTTGACAAGGGATCCCTTACTCATAAAACCAAAGGTATAGACGTTACTACTTGGAAGGCAAGACATCTCTACCATAGAAACCCCCATCCTAAAGCTTAAAAGGGCTGCAAGCCAGGAGTCAATAGAGCCTTTTTAAAAAACTATACAAAGTTTCCACCCCCACCACAGTATCCCTTCCTCATCTTGCCTAGTTTAATTTCAGATGCTTTCATCAATTTGCTCTTCATGAATCAAGCCTATGTCAACTTAGAGATGGGAAAAAATATTTCATAAGCTTTACATATCCTTTATAATTTTAAAAAGTTACTGAAATACTAAGTTCATATGAAGATTCCAAAGAGAGAAGTGATGAAGGAAACAAGGCCTGAACACACCAAATATGTAATATTTAAGCCACCAAGATTACAATGCTTTAGAATCCTAGCATGGGAAACAAATACCTGTTGGTAAAGCATACAAATGACTGTAAAAGCAGATCTACATCGCTATGCAAAGCAGTAATCTGACGCAAGTCATTTTGTATACCATAATATAGTTGTTTCAAAATGTCAAAAGTCATAACCTTGCTATAGTTTAGTCTGTAGTAGTAAAGTTCCATTTTCTATGTTCTTTCCAATAAATTAATAAACATCTTGCCTGCTCTAACCATTTGATTACTGGTTATGGTTAAAAAGAGCAGTTATCAACTGCATGTTGTAGTTTTAATAGGTTTTTAAAACAATTATCCTATTCCATGGACCAGTTCCCTTCCTCCCCAAATTGTTACATTTTAGTTTAAGAAAACAAACAAAAAAACACCTTTGTGACCTACACATCTCCCTGGTCCTGATAGGTAATCAGCAGTATCAATTTTATGTACTGACTCAAACTAACCGTTTCACAAGCTGAACTTCCAAACAAGCTAACAAAATAAGCTCTCTTAATGTAAAACTGTAACAGACACGGTATATCCATCTACAACATGGACAAGAATCAAAACTTCTGTTTGGGTAGAGCAAGGGTGAAAGCTCTTTTAGCATTAACAGCTAAAAATTGCCTGTTAAAAAAAAAAAAACCCTGAACAATAAAGTTTTTAAAGTCCAGAGACATGCAAAAACATTCGCATCTCCATACTGCCAACGTAATAAATGCCTCTTGAAGAGAAGTTTTTCTCGAAAGCGCCAATAGCTTATGAAGTACAAACACGGAAATAAAAATCGCAGGCAGCAGCGCTGTGCTGGGGGTGGGAGGGAAAAGGCAGATCTGGATATCAAGAGACCTGGTTTTAGTATCCTGGCTGAACAACTAACTCCGAGAGTGACCTTGGGGAAATCATTCTCTCTAGGCCTGTTTCGTTACCTTTAAGAGAGGACCTGAAGTCCCTTTAAAATATTAACTGTTCCAACTTCTAGTAATTCACAATAAGCTTTCGGAATGTCCCCTAATCAATCCCAGGAAAAAAAACAAGAAACAAGTTAAATGGGTCAGAGACCTCTAAAAGTGGATACAAAGTGGCAGGGTAAAGGGTAGGTGGACCCTGACCCAGCAAAGCACCGAGCAGGTCCCGGAGGGCGGAGGCGACGGAAGAGGGCCAGGGGTGGCTCTGCCCGGCTCCCGGCCCTGGCGGGAGGTGGAGTCGAGGTTCTCGCGTGCATTGTCCCCGGGAGGGAGCCATGTTTCTTACTCCCCGGCACTCCCAGATGGCGGCCCGGGGCGCTGGGCCTAAGCAGACCAAAGTCCGGTGGTCGAGAAAGCTAGCGGGAGGTGGACTGTGGCAAGACGCTCCTCCCCGGGTAGGGCTTGTCTCTCGGGCCGCGGCCCCCGCGACGCACCAGGAGACGGCGGGGAAAGGACGAGCCCCAGAAGCGACGGTAACCGGCTCCGCGCCTCCCAGCCCGCAGTCGGTTGGCGTGGGAAGGGAAACCATGCCCGACCACGGGCTGGGACGGCGGCGGGCAGGCCGCATCGGCCTCCTCTCCGGCCGCAGTCCGGGCGACGGAGTAGCTGGAAACAGGCCCAGGCCCTCGACCTCCGAGGCCTCGGGCCGCTCCAGCCTGGCGCGCCCCGATCCCCTACTCACCGTTGGCGCGTTTGAGGGCATTTTCCGGCCTCTGGAAATAGGCCGGCATCTTGGCGGCAGGCGCAGCTCACCCGGCGTCAGCGAACTCCCTAGTGGCCCGGGCCGGGAGAGGAGACGAAGGGGAACCAGCGCGAGGTTCCACGCGCCTCGCCAGCAGTCGCCCGCGCCCAGCCGGCCAGAGACGGAAAGGAAGGAGCCACGTGATCCCCGCGCGGCGACACTGCCGCCGCCCAGGCCCCGGATGTAGGGGCGGCCTTCGCGTGTGCCCCGCCCCTCCCCGCGCGCAGGCGCGCTGGCGTCACGCACGCAGGCTGACGTGGCGTCCTCGGCGTGCGCTGGGGGTGCAGGCGCGCGAGGTTCAGTGAGCCCTTAGGGCTTTGCCGGGTGATTTTTTAGGGAGCTGGTTCTCAGGCCCTGCTCTCCTCGAGCGAGAATCGGGGTGGGAAAGGTGAGTTTGGGGTCGGAGTTTCTGTCTGGCGGAGTCATGCAGAATTACAATAAGGTCCCGTCCGCCTAGGGAATAGCCTGTCTCTGGCTAAATGAAATGGTGAATCTACTTAACAGGAATGTATTGAGCAGGTACAGTTAGGCCAGCGCCGCTCAACCCTGATGGACAAGCGTGGGGAGGGGGATGCAATAAATAAGTAAAGAAACAGGCACGGTTACTTTATAACTTGGTAAAATAAAAAGTTGGTGTCACAGGGATTGTCTGAGGATTGAAGACCTTTAGAGAAGGTGAGGGAGGATAGCAATCCGCATAGGGCAAAAGCCCTGGAGCAGAACAGACTTGCATAATGTTTGAAAATACTTGGGACTGTCGTCGCTTCTACATACTGCTCGCGTCACAAACATACATTAAGAAAAATGAATGTTAGTGAAAAAATTAATTTATAGCAGGCCCTATCTTATTGTTGATTCAGTTTTAATGTTTACAGATTTATTACTACGCCTAGAACTTGAAAGCTATTTAAACTGAATCTAATTCGCAAGCCTTTGGTACGAAATAAAGACGAGTTCACTTCACGGCTGGGCGTGGTGGCTCACACCCTTAATCCCAAGGCCTGAGGCCAAGGCTGGAAGATCTCTCAAGGTCAGGAGTTCCAAACCAGCCTGAGCAAGAGCAAGACCCCCATCTCTACTAAAAATAGAAATTAATTGGCCAACTAAAAATATATAGAAAAAATTAGCCGGGCACGGTGGCTCATGCCTGTAGTCCCAGCTACTTGGGAGCCTGAGACAGGAGGATCGCTTGAGCCAGGAGTTTGAGGTTGCTGTGAGCTAGGCTGACGCCAGGGCACTCTAGCCAGGGCAACAGAGTGAGACTGTCTCAAAAAAATAAATAAACAAACATGAGTTCAGAAGGAAAATTTAGAAAGCACCAGTGGAATAAATCATTGTAAATGTATTACACATTGTTGTAATAATAGATGGGATATGTAAATTGATGAGTGGGTACTACATTAGTGAATTAGGAAACCACCATACGGTACACACACAGTTTTCCTCCCTCATTACTTCTGCCTCCACAAAGAGGTTTTCCTATTTAAATTTACTATTATTTTTTTTCTTTTTCCTTTTTTAAAATTTTGTCTTAAGTTTACTATAAAGAAGGAAAATTTGGAGCCAAGTGTGGTGGCTCACACCTGTAGTCCCAGCTACTTGGGAGGCTGAGGCAGGAAGATTGCTTAAACCCAGGAGTCTGAGGTCGCAGTGGACTATGGTTGCACCACTGCACTGCAGCCTGCCTGGGCAATAGGGCGGGACCTTGTCTCAAAAAAAATAAAAAATAATTTTTAATTAATTTTCAGAGTGTTCTTCCTCCAAAATGCTTAAACCATTCCATATGTCTGAGCTTACTCCAAAAAAATAAATAAATAAATAAATAAAAGCCAGACAAGGTTGTTATAAAAACAATAAAATGTACTAAGAAGCTATAGGAACTGTTTTATGGGCAGGATCAAGAGACTTGTTTGTATATATAATAATTAAGTCAAAATTAAAGAGCTAAACATGTGAACAAATATTACTCTTTAAGTGATATAGGTGGAAGACTATTTAGTAGACCATAGAGAGATGCAAACAGAATAAAATAAAAGGAAACCTGCCTAAATATCAGAAAAAGCTTTCTGACATTCTTAGTTCTCCATTATATAGCAAAGAAAGTGGTAAAATGGCCTCATTGGTTATTACTAATGTGGTAGACTTACAACAAGACAAACTCTAGAAAATTTTGAGGTAAAATGAAACCCAGTATCCCTACATAATGATTTTTTTTCCCTTTCAAATTATTTAAAGTGTATGAAGCATTTGTTAATATAATAGCCTATGATCAGTTGAGTTAATTAAATAAAATAATTTAAAGTCTAGTGCCTTTTTTGTTAATGAGTAAAAGTATAATGTTAATTTCCAGGATAAATGTACCTATTAAATTAAATCAATGGATATTCAGCACCAGATAATAGCCATGTTGGATGCTGGAAATAAAAAGACCAAGATGCAAGATGCCTGCTTTCAAGGAGTTAATGATTCGCTGGTAAGAATAGATGCGTACACTGTGAGGGACAAGATAGAATCTAATCTGGGCCCAGAGGAAAAACATAATTACTTGCTGTTGATTAATGGGTATTTGGTAGAAAACAGGCAACCTGAAGTTGATATAAACCACTTTCAGAAATGGTAAGAGGAAGTAATCAGGCTGATGAAGGTTTTTCCTAATCAAATTACTTTTGAATTACATATGACTGGATAATTTTTGGAGTTTTTTTCCTGACTGGTAGAATAAAGAAGATTCTCTAATGGACACAACAGAGGTACTGCATTATACATATTTGCAACATAATATCATATAACTTTAAAACAAGTATCATGTTTTATAATTTATAAAATGCTTTCACATTTATCATTTATGAGAATGCAGTGACAAAGGTATTTGTACTAATGAACATAATGAATTTCAGGGTGGTATACTAAGATTCACAATAATACATTCTTCCAACAAACCATTATCATGTGCATACCATGTGCCAGGCACAGTGGGTATGCATCCAATAGGTGTAGGGTTTATAGTAGTGAACAGGACAGACTAGCCTTCACAGACTTTGCAATTTGGGGGAGAGGCCAGACTTCAAACACTCCCTGGGAGCCCTGTGAAGATGGAAATACCATTGCAATCCAGGCCCATTTCACCACTCCCAATGTCTTTCAGTGCCCTAAATAGCCTTCTCTCCCACCCCCAACTTGATGCGTGCTATCATTTCACTTGGAACATTTTTCACCCCCACCCATCCTTTGCTCTGGCAACAACCTTTTTCTCTGTCAAGTTCCACTTAAATGTCACTTCCTCCAGGATTCTTCCCTGACCCCCAGATTAGGTTAAATGCCAAGACTTTGAACACCAATAAACATCCTGTTTTAGCACTGATCATACTTCAATGTAATTACTTGCACACTGTAAGCTCAGAGCAGGTAAGGATGAAATTTGTGTTAGTGTATCCCACTGGGGATTTTGCCTGGCAAAGCAATGATCAGATAGGATACTTTCAAAAAATGCTAGAGAGAGAAACAAATGAATCCCCGTATAAAGATTTATATAAAACAGCTTCCCGCCATGTGTGTGGGGAAGTAAAAAAGAAAGTCCAATGTGTGTCTTCTTTAATTCATAGAGCATCTACCCATCTACATGGAGCTCCCAGTATACCTAAGCACTAAGCACACAAACATTAATGAAGAAACAATAATGTTCTTCACCCCAAGCTCCTAATTGCACTGGTTCTGAACTTCCAGCTGTACTAAAGTTTATTTGTGATTTTCCGAGGTCAGTGTTTAAAGATGTGGTGCTCTCCTACACCTAAATACTTCTCTCTCCTCCCCATCCCACCCACTTTCACCTCACTAACTGCTGCCGATACTTTAAGGCTCAGCTCAAAGGCTTCCCCTTTGAGGCCTCAGGTGTCTTTCCTGACACCTGAAAGGTGACTTAACTGCCTCTTTGCCTGTGTCCCTGGCCCATCCCTGAGCAGTCTGCTACACCTAGAGCCTTCTCACAGGGTGGCTATATTCCTACCTCAAGCCACTGATGCCTGGAGGTGAGATCAGTGACCAGCTAGCTCTTCCCACTAGCTAATTCCAGGGCATTCTCTTCTCCCTTCCACTCCGAGCTTTGAAACTCAGCCATTGGACTAGACCACCTGTCGTTCCTCCATGTTGCAGCCTCTATAGCATTTACAGATCCCAGGTCACACCCGTCATTTCTTGACTCTTAGTTCTGGCCCCCTGTCACTCTCTCCAGCCTGACTGTCATAATCATTGGTGATTTCTGTGCCCATGTAGATAGATGGTGTTCCAATATCCTAGCCACCTTGCCTTCATGAATGTGTCCTCTGCCTTACCTCACCCACTCACACACATGGTCATACCTTAGAGTCTAGACCACAAGTCAGCAAACTTCTGTGAAGAGCCTGATAGTACATATCTTAGGGTTTGCGGGCAGGAGGCAGTGTCTTCAACTCTGAGCAGCTGTGCTTGCTGAAAGAATTATAGCCTTTTTTTGTATTTTATATTTAATTTGGTGGGGGGTATTTTGGGGGGTGGGGGAAGGTCTTGCTCTGTTGCCCGGGCTAGAGTGCAATGGTGCCATTATAGCTCACTGCAACCTCTAACTCCTTGGCTCAAGCAGTCCCCCTGCCTCAGCCTCCTAAGTGGCTGGGACTACAGGCATGCACCACCATGCCTAGCTAATTTTTCCATGTTTTGTGGAGATGGGTTCTTGCTTCATTGCCTAGGCTGGTCTCAAACTCCTGGCGTCAGGTGATCCTCCTGACTCAGCCTCCCAAAGTGCTAAGATTACAGGCATGAGCCACTATGCCAAAATTCTATATTTGGCCAATATTCTGTATTTAAAATGTAAAGATTATTCTTAGCTCAAGGTTGCACAAAAACTGGCAGCAGGCCAAATTTGGTGAACAAGACATAGTTTGCTGACCTCTATGCTAGACCTTGTCATACCAACAGTCTCAATTAACAAATCTTGATTTCAAGACTTCATTTTCCAATCACCACCTCATATCATTAACTGTGTTGTGCCCCAGCTCTAAAAACCCTTCTGACCTACAATCTTTTCACTGCCCCTCATCCCCCCATGTCCTCTGTTTCCTCTTTTTCCAACTTAGATTCCATCATTTCATTCTTTTCTTACTCATCTCTTTCTTTATCCTACTCACCTGGCAAAACCCCAACCCTGGTCGAATCCAACCCTCCACCTACTCCTTTGGCCAGAGAAGAATATACAAGCATGTACATTAAATTCAAGACCACAAGCCCTGACAAGCACCTTGTTGCTGCCCAGCCATCCTACTATACTTCTCTAGGCCCTAGCCCATGCTCCTAGATGACTGTTTCTTTTTTCTTCTCTTCTCTTCAATCCTCTAACACCTCCTTGCTCTGCTTTACTCTCCTCTCAGCTGATGTCTTCCTGCTCTGTAGCACTGAAAACAGTGGAGCAGTTAGAAGAGAACTTTGACACCCTGCCCTCTATCCCCCGCCTGCGGCTGTGCTCATACCGTCTGCCTTCCCTGCTCCTGCTCTTTGGTCTCAGGCTCCTATCTCAAGCCCACCCCTGTGCACTTATGTATTTGATTCCACCTCATCTCACGTGCAGGGTTGATCACTCCATCTCCTTGAAACACTTTCTTCACTTGGCCTCCAGAATCACCCATTCCTGATTTTCTTACTACCTTGCTGACTACTCCTCGCTGGTGTTTCCTCATCTCTCTGACATCTGTAGTTGAAATACCCCAGGGCTCAGCTCCTGAACCTTGTATGTCTTCTAACCATGCTCATCTCTTGGTTCTAGCTCATGGCTTTAGAAATATTTCTAGGCTTACAAGTTACAAAATCAGCCCTTGACTTCTCTCCTGAAAGCCAAACCTCCCACACGGAGATACATATTTGACACATCTGTTAAATGTTTAACATGCTGCATACATCCAACCTACCCAAAACCAAATCCCTGTTTTCCTCTGTCTCCAGTCTTCTCCTGTAATCTTCTCCATGTTAATAAAGGCAACCTCATGCCTGCAATCTCAGCATTTTGGGAGGCCAAGGCAGGAGGATTGCTTGAACACAGGATTTTAAGACCAGCCTAGGCAACATAGCAAGCCCCATATCTACAAAAAACAAACAGAAAATTAGCCAGACTACATGCTGCATGCCTGTAGTCTCAACTACTAGGGAGGCTGAGGTGGGAGGATCCTTTAAGTCCAGGACTTTGAGACTGCAGTGTGCTGTGATCATGCCACTGCACTCTAGCCTGGGCAATAGAGCAAGACCCTGTCTCTAAAATGGCAATACCAGCTGGGTGCGGCACTTTTGGAGGCCGAGGCCAGCGGATTGCTCAAGGTCAGGAGTTCAAAACCAGCCTGAGCAAGAGCGAGACACCTGTCTCTACTATAAATAGAAAGAAATTCATTGGCTAACTAATATATATAGAAAAAATTAGCCGGGCATGGTGGCATATGCTTGTAGTCCCAGCTATTCGGGAGGCTGAGGCAATAGGATTGCTTGAGCCCAGGAGTTTGAGGTTGCTGTGAGCTAGGGTGATGCCACGGCACTCACTCTAGCCTGGGCAACAAAGCAAGACTCTGTCTTAAATAAATAAAATAAAATAAAATAAAATGGCAGTCCCATTCTTCCATTCTCTCAGTTCAAAAATGTTGGAGATATCTTTGACTCCCCTTGTTCTGTCACATCCTCAGATCCAATCAGTCCATCAACAAATCTCTTATCTACCACCTCCATGGCTACCACCTGGTCCAAGTTACCATCATTTCTCCCCTGGAGTATATAGTAACCTGCTAACATGTCTTTCACTTTCTACCTTGGGTCCCTTCTCTACTCTGCAAATGGCAAGCAGAATCCTTTTAAACCACTTAGCCAAGCTACCTCCCCAGAGGAATCCTTTTAAAACAAAAGTAAGGACCAGGCATGGTGGCTCAGACCTGTAATCCTGGCACTTAGGGAAGCTGAAGCAGGAGGATCACTTGAGGCCCGGAATTCAAGACCAAGCCCCGGCAACACAGTGAGTCCCCATCGAAAAAAAAGTAAGATCATCTCAGTGTCCTGATCAAGACCTTCTTGTGACTTTCTAGCAGACTCAGTGAAAGTCAGAGTCCTTACAATGGCCTGCAAGGGCCTACACAATTCCTCTTCCCTTTATCACTTCCCCACTACCACCAATGTCACCTTTTCAGTGACATCCTCCCTCACCTCTTACACTTCCTCAAAACCTTCTCTTCCTGATTTCCCTCCATAGCATTTATCACCACCTGATCCCAAATATATTTTATGAGTTTATTTCTTTATTGTCTACTGCTCTAACATACAATAATCTTGATGAGAGCAGGGATTTTTCTGTCTGCTTTGTTCACTGCTGTATGTTTAGCACCTGTAACAATGCCTGGCACATAGTAAGCACTCAATAAATATTTGTTGAATAAATGACTGAGTTGATTAAAGTAAGCCTACTATATCATGATTGCTTATTTGCATGCTGATATCCTGTGTGATCCTGGGAGTCCCTTGAAGATAGTGTCTGAGACAGTTCATCTTTGTGTGTAGACAGTACTGGCACACGGTCAACACCCAGAAAGTGGTTGTTCATTATATATCTCAAAGCACCTATATAGTTTCAACGGCATGATAACAAGGTCGGAAACCTTACAGCCTTGCATTTTTAACCATGAAAGTATCCAACTGGACTTGGAAATCTTTTCCACAGTGGTGCACCAAGTGCAGATGTGGGGTGTGCCTGTGCCTGTGCCAGGCGGTTCTCACTGGCCTTCTAGGTTCTGCAAATTTAAAGCAGGAAAATTGAAATGCAAACTCAGCCGAGCATATATTTAGCAGGAATGTGTCTTGGCAGTATTTGTTATTTATTGGGAGAAATGCTTCTTACACTCAGCTCTCTTCACCCACTAATGTTCCGCCAGACTCCGGGAGAAGGCTGAGGGGCATGTTTGTGGGAATCTGTGCACTCACTCGCTTATGCCATTGTGGCATGCCAAGAAACCCAGTTTTGCTTGAGGATTGAGGAGGTTATGCCCAAATACACAAAAAACAACCAGGGCCAAGAAAGTAGAGTGAGTAAGACACTGTGCATAGTGGTTTTGGGTGTGGTTTGAAATAGGCTTCTCTGTTAAATATGTTAAACATGATTAGAAGGAAACCTGGAACCACAGGGTGTGGGCTTTCATGATGGGGATGTGGGTACTAGGATAATCTAAATGTGGACCTTTTCATTGTATTATCTTCTTGTGGAGCAGCTTAAATGGCACCCCTCAGAGAACCGTCTCCTGACTACCTACTCTAAATCTAAAGGCCACCCTGTCTTAATTCTCTGCAGAGCACTCATCATTGACTGATGGTTGTCTTTGTTTCCTTGGCTGCTGTCTCACCGCACTAGATGGTAAGTTTCAAAGGCCAAGGGTGTCTTGTTCACCACTGTATCTCCAGCTCCTGGAACCGTGCTTGGCACAGAGCCCAGGCACTCCATTAATATGTGCTGTGTGAATAAATAAAGGAATGGAGACTGTAGTTCATAAAATTCTAAGATAACCCCAAATTCTCATCCTAGGGGCATGTAAATATGGGATACTCACCCCTGTGATTAAGGTTATACCTATGTCACGTTGTCTTTATGAAGGGGGATTGACTGGGTGGGCCTAACCAATCACATAGCCCTTTAAACTTGGGCGCTGGACATCATAAGTAGAGGTAAGAGTTTAAAGCACAAGGAGGGAGCTACATGGCAAGGGACTACAGGAAGCCTCTAAGATGAGAGTAGCCCAGCCAACAGCCAGCCAGAGAGCAGGACCTCAGTCCTACCACTGCAAGGAATGAATGCTTCCAATCTGTATGAGGTTGGAAGCAGAGTCTCCCAGCGCCCTAGAAAGGAACTCAGCCCAGCAACACGTTGACTCCAGCCTGCGAAGACCCTAAGCAGAGAATCTAGTCATGCTGTTCTGACTGTGGACCTATAGAACTGTGAGCTGTGAGAGGGTGCCAGTTAAGCCCTAAGTTTGTGTTAAATGCTACACAGCAATAAGAACTAATACAGACACTGAACCATTTTCTCCATGTTTACTCTTAGAAAAGCAAGAGCGAAACGCTAACAGAGTTTAAACTCTAAGGCTACTTTGCCTTGTGTGAATAAAACAGGGGTACGGGCCGGGCGCTGTGGCTCACGCCTGTAATCCTAGCTCTGGAGAGCCGAGACGGGCGGATTTGCTCAAGGTCAGGAGTTCAAACAACCAGCCTGAGCAAGAGCGAGACCCTTCTCTACATAATAAAAGAATTATTGGCAAACTGATATATATATAAAAAATTAGCCGGGCCATGGTGGCGCAGTCCTGTATCCCCAGCTACTCGGGAGGCTGAGGCAGAAGGATCACTCAAGCCAGGAGTTTGAGGTTCTGTGAGCTAGGCTGACGCCACGGCACTCATCTAGCTGGGCAACAAAGCGAGACTCTGTCTCAAAAAAAAAAAAAAAAAAAAACAGGGGTACGGTTCAGTGGAGGAAAAGGACGGATTGTTTAAGGTTTACACAAATTCAGACTGCTCAAGCAAAATCTCATCTGATCCTGGAATTGAGATGATGAACATGTCATTGTACTCCACATTGGTGTTTTTAAACTAGGGGATGCAGTTCGTCTTCCTATGGAAATAGGATTATAAATACACATCATTTCCAACTCATGAACATGCCAGATTTGGAGTCAAATGTGGCTTTTAACCCCAGCTTGCCATGTCTGGCTCTGTGACACTGGCAAGTAATCTCTGTGGCCACAGTTTACTAAGTTTTGTGAGATTTAAATGAGATAGTACATGTAGTGCTCTTAGCATACGTCCCTGATGCTTTGCTCTCTAGAACTCATTTTCACATCTGTACACATAAGAGGGACAAAAATAAATAATGCTGAGACAGTCACCGCCTCTTTCTGCCCTCACCTGCTAAAAAGTATCCTGATGTTCCTGATGGGCATTGCCTTCTTTCTTACTCGCTTCAAGTAGGAAAGGGCTGAAGTGAGAGAAAGGAGGCAATAGAAATATCAAAAGGTTAATGAAGAAGAAAGAAAGAAAGAAGAAGAGGATGGCAGTAGGTGGAGTTATTGGAAAGAGGGTGGAAAGAGATTTCAGAGCCTATGTTGCATGATGAGAGAGATAGTTTACAAAACTGGGGGAGTCCATACTGATATAAATAAGATCGAATAAGTTTAACGTTGGGCCCACGCCGGGTCCAAATAACTTATGTAGATAATTTACCCTTGAGGAGGTGGTGTGTAACCACCACTTAGCAATGTAGCGCCAGGAACACTCACTCTGTGGAATAGAATGAGGCGTTGCCCAGTTCAATAAAACTTAAAAAGAGTGTAGGCTCTTTAAGTGCATAGTGATTTCCATCCAAAGACTACAGTATAGAAAGGGAGAAAAAGCATAACTTTACAGTGAAGAAACCTGGCAAACAATCTCAGCCAGATGATCAAGGTTAACACTTTGATGTACCGTTGATATGATGTAGTGAGAGTGGCACTTTACTCTGTGACCTTCCTCCTAAAAATGTTTAATCCAGTCTAATCATGAAAAACGAAACCTGTAGAAGGACAGTCTACAAAATACCTGACCAATCCTCCTCAACAACTGCTAAAGTGGGCCAGGAACAGTGGCTCCTGTCTGTAATCCCAGATCTTTGGGAGCATGAGGCCAGAGGATGCTTGAGCCCAGGAGTTCAAGTTACAGTGAGCTATGATCATGCACTGACTGCTATCCTGGGTGACAGAGCAAGACCCTATCTCTGGGGGGAAAAAAAAGAAGAAAAAACTGGTAAGGTCATCAAACAAGGAAACTCTAGGAAACTGTCTTAGTTAAGGAGACCCTAAGGAGGTATGTTGACAAATTGATGTTTATCCTAAATGAATCTGGAACAGAAAAACAAATAGGTAAAACCTAAGAGAATCTGGATAAAGCATGGACTTTAGTTAATGGTGTATTGGGTCAGGCGCAACATCTCATGCCTATAATCTCAGCACTTTGGGAGGTCGAGGCGGACGATTGCTTGAGGCTAGAAGTTTGAGACCAGTCTGGGCAACATAAGAAGCCCATCTCTACAAAAAATTAAAAATTACGCTGGGTCAGGTGCGGTGGCTCACACCTGTAATCCTAGCACTCTGGGAGGCCGAGGTGGGTGGATCGCTCAAGGTCAGGTGTTCGAGACAGCCTGAGCAAGAGCGACGACGCCATCCTCTACTATAAAAATAGAAAGAAATTAATTGACAACTAAATATAATAATATATATATATATATATATATACTACTATATATACACAAAAAATTAGCCGGGCATGGTGGCGCATGCCCGTAGTCCCAGTTACTTAGGATGCTGAGGCAGTAGAATTGCTTGAGCCCAGGAGATTGAAGTTGCTGTGAGCTAGGCTGACGCGCACGGCACTCCACTCTAGCCTGAGGCACAAAGTGAGACTCTGTCTCAAAAAAAAAAAAAGTTAGCTGGGCATGATGACATGCACCAGTAGTCCCATCTACTAGAGAGGCTGAGGCAGGAAGATTGCTTGAGCCCAGGAGTTCGAGGCTGCAGTGAGCTATGATTGCATCACTGCACTTCAGCCTGAGTAACAGAGCAAGACCCTATCTCAAAAAACAAACAAACAAACAAAAATAATGTATCATTATTGGCTCATTAGTTGTGACAAATGTACCATACTAATATAAGTTGTTTAATAATAGAGCAAACTGGGCGTGGGGTATGTGGGAACTCTCAGTACCATCTTTGCAGTTTTTCTGTAAATCTAAAACTATTATAAAATAAAAGGTTTATTTTTGGCTGGGTGTGGTGGCTCATGCCTGTAATCCTAGCACTCTGGGAGGCCGAGGCAGGAGAATCGCTCAAGGTCAGGAGTTTGAAACCAGCCTGAAGGCAAGAGCGAGACCCGTCTCTACTACAAATAGAAAGAAATTAATATAGAAAAAATTAGCCGGCATGTGGCGCATGCTGTAGTGCCAGCTACTCCAGAGGCTGAGGCAGTAGCATTTGCTTGAGCCCAGGAGTTTAGGTTGGTGTGAGCTAGGCTGAGCCACGCATACTCAGCGAGGGCAATAGAGTGAGACTCTGTCTCAAAAAAAAATAATAAAATAAAAGGTTTATTTTTAAAATATGTGGGAAAAGGAATTTTAAGACATTTCATTGTAGGTAATAAATTCTGCCCTCTTTAATGTTCTTTGAAAAATGCAAATAAGGATCACAATGCATTTTCATTGTATTTTTCTTGCTGAACTATTTCTTTTTGTTTTGAGTACAGAGTTCGCTTTGTGCCCAAGCTAGAGTGAAGCCGTGGGCATCAGCCTAGCTCACAACAACCTCAAACTCCGGGCTCAAGCAATTCCTCTGCCTCCAGCCTCCAAGCAGCTGGGACTAAGGCATGCGCCACCATTCCCGGCTAATTTCTATATATATAGTTGGCCATTATTTTTTTTATTTATAGTAGAGACAGGGCTCGCTCTTCGCCTTGCTCAGGCTGGTTTGAACTCCTGACCGTGATGATCCTCCGCCTGGCTCCCAGAGTGCTAGGATTACAGCATGATCACCATGCTGGCCCTGAACTACATATTCTTTTAATGCAATATACTCAAGCTGGCTTTGGGTCTGGATCTACCCAGTTTTCCACTATCAGCATCTGAAACCTTTGGAGAACACAAGAAGGATGACTATTCATCTTGGAACATTCCTGGAAACTTCATTTATGTGAAGCCAGTTACATGTCAGGATAGAGATGTCAGAACAGTCGCTGAAGCCCTTGCAGTCCCAACTGAGCCGGAATTCCTATAATGAAAGGAGTACCACCCTAATCCTCCCTTGCTGATCACATGCCCAATGTAGCCTCAAAATCCAATTTGGAACAAATATGCGGTCACACAGTGGGCCACACCTGTGATCTAGCATTCTGGGAGCCAAGGCAGGATGACTTGAGCCCGGAGTTCGAAATAGCCCCTGACAAAAGAGTTGAGACCCGTCTTATACTAAAAATAGAAAAATAGCAGGCGCAGTGGGTGATCCTGCAGATCCAGGTATCCGGAGGCTCAGGCAGGAGATCGTTTGACGCCCAGAGTTTTGAGGCCCTGCAGTAAGCCTAGGCTGACGCCACTGCACTCCTAGCTGGCACAGACGCAAGGCTCTGCTCTTAAATAAAGAAAAAGAAGAAAAACACAAGAATGAAGGGGAATGGCCACATTTGCTGGCAGGACCTGGAATTTGATACATCTGTGGAAAATTTGGTTCCATTGCCTGTACATGCCTCAACAGTTTGGGCATTTTCAAATCCACATCATTCAACAACCTTACTCCTTTCTCTGGAGCAAGAGCGAGCAGCTCTGCAGAAGTAAATGATGACACGCAGGGCGAGACTGATGCCTCTAGAAA